GCAGAGGAGCGCCTTGCACACTCAGCGTGCTGGCAGAGGGGCGCCTTGCACACTCGTCCTCACCGTGCTGGCAGAGGAGCGCCTTGCACACTCGCCGCGCTGGCAGAGGGGCGCCTTGCACACTCTCCCTCGCCTTGTTGACAGAGGGGCGCCTTGCACACTCGCTGTGCTGGAAGCCTTGGGGCTGTCATGCTCACCATCCCAGGGCCACTGGGGTTTGCACACTCACCACACTGGAGGCGGTGGGGTTTGCACGCTGGCTGTGCCGGAGGCAGGCGGCACTCGGTGTTCCCTGCAGTGCGTGCCGCGGCAGGTCAGGAGATGGGACTCATCCGGGGCCCAACGTGCAGGAGATGCCCCATTACATGCGTGGTGCCGTGCTGCTTCTTCCCAAGGCACTGAGCCAGGCTCTGCGCTGCTCCACTGACTGCTAACGAGGAACAAAGCCCGTTAGTTCCCTCGAAGCCAAAGCTGGCCCAAACACAGCAAGCACTCATCTACCCCTTCCTTTTGCAGCCTCTTGTTTCACCTCTGCTGTCACCCAGGAAAAGGGCTGGATTTTATCCAGCGCTGGAAGCCGAGCCTAGAGGTTAAAGCTAGATCCTCCTCCATACAGCACCGTGGCCAAAGCTGCGGAAGTTTTGGGATTTAACCTAAGCAAGGGCAGCAGCACAGCTGGTGCAGCACAAACCTCACCCCATGAGCAGAGAGGCGGCTTCTCCATGTGCAGCAGCCACAGCTGGGATTGCAGCAAGGATGCTCTGCAGGGCAGGTGTTTCTGCAGCCTGGTCCTACTAGCACCAGAAGTAGTAAAGAGGAATCAGCTCCTCGGAGGCACTGCTGCAGGGATAGTGATGCACCAAGAGCCAGCTCCCACCCCACTCCTCCGTCTGAGATCTGAGGGGGGGAGGTGGGTGGCCAGCTGAGGCCTTTTAACCCAAAACAGGCTGAGAAGGCGGGGGCATTGGGGCCTATATAATGCTGGCTGCAAGTGCCCCCAAGGAGATAGGCTGTGGATTGGTGTGTGCCTTGAGGGGGGGGTTGGGCCCTAAAAGAGGGACATGTGATATGTTAAGAGCTTTTTTTGCTATTTTGCTGTGTGTTACCTAGCTGGAAAATCTTTTAGTTGAAGGGCTATGGGTTGTCTTTTGTATTTGTAGCCTTTCTACCTGAGGGTGGCTTTACTCATGAACAAGTGTGATAAGAGGGTTCTTAAGGCCCTTCTCTGGTCTTAGAAGAAAGATGCAGTTAAAAATGTGCTGTTATGCTTAGAGGTGCACCCCTCAAAATGGGCTGCTATAGAGTCTGATGGTAGCTCATATTTCTATCAACAGGTAAAAATGTTGGCAAATTCTCTGTTACTTCTACCTGCTCCTGTAAGAGTTGTGGCTTAAATTTGGGACTTGCCTTGTCTGGGAGGCTAAAATCCTCTCTCTGCTTAATGTAGTTGCTTAAGTTTGCTCTTTGCACTGTATTGAATGTGCCAGTGTTTCCTGTGGAGAGTCCCAAGTCCTTTTGTGCAAAGATGTGAGTCCTCTGAAGTGGTCTTATTTCTGTTAGCATTTTAATCTAGAGAAGGTGCTTTAAGCTTGCTTGTTCTTAGGCTGATGGGAGAGTAGCAGAGCAGTGCTGAAGGGTGTCCTTGCACCCCATCGATGAAGGTGTTGCCTCATGCTGTAATGTGAGCTGGTAACAGCAGATGGCTCTCAAAGCCCCTCTGAAACCTGGATGGACGCTGCCAAGGAGCACAAGCTCTGGCCTGGCCCCTCACAGCCCCAGCAGGTGACAAGTGGTGGCCGACTGTGGGTGCCTGGGGCAGAAGTGGGATGAGATGATAGTGGTGCTCCAGCTGGTGTGTCCTCCTGGTAACCTGCAAGCTAGAGGTTCCTGGTGATCCTGCACTTGTGTGCATGTGATAACTTCACCACAAAACCTGTTAGTGGTACTGCATAATGCAATCCTCTACGTAACTTTAGAGTAGGATTGAATTTTTTGCCCTGACTTAAACTCAAGGATTAGAGACTGCACTGGTGCCTACACCCCTCTCTGCTCCCCCGTGAGTGCCATCCTGTGGCAAGAACAGGAAAGACTTCAAGGACACGCAATCTACAGATGACCACCAGCAGACTCTGCCTGGGCTAAGCAGGAGCAGTCTAGGGCTTCAGAATCTGCAGACACAGTGGTATTTTGTAAGCAGCCTGTTTTGCCCCAAAGCGATGTTCCCTGTCTTGCTGCAGAACCGGCAGAGCTGTGGTGGCTGGTCTCCTCCAGGAACAATGTCCCTTCTGGCTGCTGGCATCTCTGAAGTTTGTCAACAAAGGTGTCAGCTAATGTCAGGAGCAGTGACCAGGCTTCAGCCCTGTGAGCTGCTGCTGGCATCTGGGTAGAGGCTTTAAGCACCCCAGGTTTGTGCTTGAGGGAGAAGAGCTGCTGGGGCTGTTAGCCTGGGTGCACAGATATAAAGGGGATCCCAAACTCCCTGCAAGCACTCGCTGCCCTTCTGTGATACCAGGTCCAAGTGAGTCTTGACTTTGTGATGTGAGGCCAGGAACCTAATAATTCCCACAAGGTCATGTAGGTGAATACATCCTGTAACTCCCTAATGAATCAACTCTGCCTCTTACAGATACACAGGGTTTAAATGATCTGGAAAGCATCTTGTAGTGGGTAAATTAGAAATAGAATAATATTAATTAAAAAAATTATCCTTGGGGTATTGGGTCTTACATATTCTATTTGTAGGTGTTGGGCTCTGCATGACTTCCACACTGCTCAACTGAAAAGAAAAAGGACTAAATCTTTTTCCAGCTGGGCTGGGGGCAAGAGGAAAGTGTATAAGATGGTCTAAGTGTCTCAGTCTCAGGTCTCCACTTGCTAAAGTGATCAGAGGGAATGTGGTGAATTTTTTTTTCCCGTGCTCTGTGCTGCTGAGAGGCGAGGACCTTGCTGGCTAGCTCTTTCTGCTGAGTCACGGCCTGCTCACTGCCTGCGCTGTCCTACCACTGAGGGTGTTTCTGTGGGACTTGCCTGTTGTCAAGTTTTT